CGTAGAGGACCACTGTAGCTACATTAGAAACAGCAGAATCCCAGCGCACTCAAATGAGAATCCAACAGTTGTTTGAAACATTTCTCGGTCCCATCATCGACGATAGGCTTCGGCAACCGGTTGCAGTCATACACTACGCGAGATGATAAGGCCAGATTGAGCTGCACACGGAGACCCCTCGGTTTGAATAGCTTCAAGCGGTGACCTCGTGTCGAACTCACAGTGTTGAATTGAGAGAAGTCTTGTAACTCGTACCACTATAATCGGGCGTCTGTAAACGTGTTACTATTCTAGTTTGGTGGAGAGAGAATATATGGTCAATGCAGCCTCTACTGATTTGGTTCTCACAAGAACCAGTGAGCCGTCGAATAATGGTGCTTGTGATAAATTTAGAGGCAACGGGGGTACAGTTAGTGACCTCATTCCGGAACTGATTAAGGTGATTCAGTGCATTACGTTCTGACTTCTCCAGCTCGGTGCTTTCATCCTCCCTTCTCGCAAATAATTGAGCACATGTATGAGCTTTGGAGCAATACATCTACCTCTGATTTCTTAGCGTCAAATGAACCTGAAGTTGCAAAGTGACTTTACACGAAATTGGTGCAGATGTATTGAACCGTTTAAATAATTCATACTTGAAGATGACCAATCTATCTCCGACTTAGCAAAGCTCTTTCTGATTTCTGATCATAATCACTCATACCCATTCACGATACCAGAACGTGAAACAAGTTATATAATGCCGCTGGAATTTGCTATTATACTTATCAGCGAATTTTAGTTCCATATTGAAGAAGTGTCATTCTTGAAGAACTTAGTTGTGACTATTATTTGCTTCCGTCATTGTCCCTTCTCCACCCTCGTCACCACTTTGGAGCTTCGCGTTGACTTAATTTGAACCAATTACGGAAAAAACGTATTAATGATTTTGTCTACTACGGAACTGTGTGGAAAATATTACCTTATTTTTACGTTTTCTGTACAACAATTCTACCCGCTTCGCTGATTCCTGACTATCCTATCTTAAATGAGCCAGAACTACTTGCAAAATGCTGATCATGCTCATAATAGTATGCCTCAAAATGAACGAGGATAAACTGTATTTATGTACTTCATTCCTGCACGACGTTTTTGACACTTCTTGAAAATGGTGGAACCATTGACAACAGCTAGTCTGAAAGCATATCTTCAGTGCCTTAACAGAAAATTAGCGAGTTTGATGTCGTCATTCAGACAGAGTACAATTTTTTAAGTCTGCTAGTTACTGCCTTGGCCGCGCGGTAATTTTGTTTATAAGAATGTGGTAGTGAAAGTTGAAGGAAATTTGTTTATCGGTGCCACCTCATCTGCACTCTACAGCCAATTATCCGTAACCGCGCGTTTTTGTTTGTGTAGATGACATGATCTTGAATCTGGGCTCATGTAGCTTAGATTTGGCCTCGGGTCCCGCTTCAATATCCTGGAATAAATTTAAAACCAACGGGGGACTCAGAATTTCGAAAGGTTTTAGAATTAAAATAGGTTTTGTAAAGGCCTGGATTGTGGTTACGTATCTGACCTGAAGGAACACTTATGTCAAAAGCGGAACTTATCCGCAATTCAAACCTCTACAAACCTTTTTATTCTATTGCCTTCCCGAAGTTATCAGGTCTTGTTTCTCCCATCTTGTTAGTAATCCTGCTTATTGACGCACCTATGGCAGCGCCGCATTGAAGAGCTGATCGGCGGCACTGATTTACTACTCACTTGATTTCTGCTACTCCCGCTGGGACTGCTAACTCTCGTCCGGCCTACTCTGGTGCTTCTGAGAGGTGCAAAAGCATGTTTCAGTTCCATACTGTTGCCTGTGGGGTCAACTGGCTGTGGTTTTGCAACATTTATAGCCATAATAGTAGGATACCGGCCTCAACCTTCTTCTACAACATGGTATATCTGTACAACATGATCGACTTGACCACAAAACCAGCTGAAAGTGCATTGCTGACTTGATCGAATTTTCGCACAAGCAGTTTTGCGCCGGACAAGCTCCACCACTTTATCATCAGACGTGACCAGTTTGTGGTTCCCTTCCGTTACAAGCTAATACTATCCCATTCGACGTTACTCAAGGAATGCTGTTCCTTACCATCACTGGTCAGTTAGGAAGTCCCTATTGCTGGATCCACCATCAAGTTCCTAACAGAGATGTGCGTTTAGACAGGTCTCTTAGGTGACAGGCTTCAGGGTGTGTTTGGTTACGTTTAGGCTGAACGCCTAAGTGCTGATTGGTGAAGTGGTTCGCAAGGCAAAATAGCTCGTGAAGCCACTAACCAATTTGAAACAGAGGCTGGTCAAGTCGTTGATACGTTCCAAATATGGGTTACACATAGAAGTTGTGCATAGCTGTAAAATACTCTAAATTTTCCAAGAAATTCCTATTTTTAATACATCCCCTCTGCTCTGCTAACTTTGTGTTGCAGGGAATAGTTTGGGGCCACTGAAACGCTGGCGTACTTATCATAACGACGACCTTAGCGCAGTCGAATCTACTATAAGGACCATCTGCCTACAGCGACCAGCCGTAAACAGCCCAACGTTTTCTCCTATCGGTAATATCCCTATGCATGAACCTGCTTATTGTGATCACCAGTCCAAAGCGACCACCTTTTGTTGGTCCCTTGAGTGCTCGCCTTAGACAGGTTTGACTGTATTAGTAATCGCACTAATGTTATTAGAGCACACTGTACACTCACTTTGGATTTGTGACAACCCGGTCAAAGTTCAACAGCGCCATCGCGAATTCTTTTCCAAATTCCATGTAATCACTTTGGTCAAAGTGGTGCACTTCGGATCTAAATGTTTGGGCATATTGATGAAGAAAATCAGTTCGAATAAAGGAGCAGACAGGTTTTTTAATGTTCCTGTTCCGACAACTCACAAGCAGTCACTCTCGAACAGGTATTAGCGATCTAGAGAAATGATTAGCTCTATGATTATGAAAGGTTCTGAAAACCTTCAGCTGGTAGATTTGATGAGCAATGTTTCCCTTTCGACACAACGGCTTCGTCAGGCCAATTGAAGCAGTGGATGATTGGTGTAACATTTGTGGTAACTTAGATCGTAATTGCGATGATTGAGATGTAAGTAGGACAAGAATAGCGTTACAGGTCAGGGGTCATTTTGAGTGGTAAACTGAAAATAGACTGCTCCCATCCGGTTCATTGCCCAAAGTCATCGTACGTAACTACTAGCAATGGTGGGAGTGGGCTGGTTTGATGTTCGCTGTGTGCCTCAGATCGGTCAGCCAATGCTGCCCAAACTGGCTGGCTTAAGACAACTCACTGCACATTCAACAGCTACGCTGCGTCCATTCTGTTCACACAACTGTTGCCTTTGCCGCTTTACACCGCATTAGCAGTCAGCCTATGGGGTGTTGATTGCAACCCACTCCTCTCCACCTAGATATTATTCAACCAACTTTCACACTTGCCCATCAACCGCCGAATCTCTTAGTAGACTACAGGCTCGTTCCTCGCAGGCTGTACCATCCGCTTCATTGTGCGTAACACTAGCGGTCTGACCTACGTACATTTGTGCACAATCTGTGCAGCTAACTCTGTAGACGTAAGTATTCGTTCTATCTGCGGGAAGTGAGACTCACAAATGAACCAGTGTCGAATAGAGCGTCCGACACTTCTGGAAAAAGCACTCTTAGTCTATCATTCTTTAGTCCCCTCTTGACGGCCACTGAAGTTTCCTCTATAGGTGTAATTTCTGTAGTCGCAATCCACTCCGTGATTGAAGTGAGTAGCTGTATAACTCATGCAGATTCCTTAAGTGATTAGGTGTGCAACTCGTAACGGTAACCTAATAACGGCAAGCAGAGCGTAATGACTGTGTAGGCAATGTTGTGTGAACACAGCTGTTACAACTAAGTAAGCGGTTGTGAGTAGTGGACGGAGCATTCTCTCCACAGGAAACAACAGAGCTCTATGCCTAAGTAGGCAGTGACCTAGTGGCTTAGATGAAAAAATGGGATAAAAGATGATCACCACGATGCGTTTCCCTGTCGTAGTGTATCGTTTCTAGTGGATGACACCGAAAGTGTATCTGTCTCAGCTGCGGTCCCAGTGACCGGCCTGGCTGAGAAAATCCTTCGATGTTAATAGTGGTCTAGCTTGCCATCCCATATGGCATTTCATTCGCATTTCATTCATTACATTCAATTATCCCACAACTGGGTGGGGGCTATCTTATAGTAGGGACCAGGGAGAATACATCAAAAATGAAAGGATAAGCGGATGTATAAACTTGAAAGGATTACTGTTTTATTCAGCAAGAACTCGGCCACCAATATCTGTGTTGTCGGTTCCAATCCCAGCTTGGGGTAGTTCTTTCCGGAAGGGTTTATACATGTGAGTTGAACAACACCGACAATGCCCTCTGTCACGTGACTCTCCAGAAAGCTTAACACAAGCTGGGCTCTAATCGAAATTATTCAGTGCTAGAAAACACGGTATACATACGGTACAGTCGTCGCGAAACTTCCGTTGATATAAACCGCGAATATCATTTTGTGGTGGGATAGTTCAACTTAGCAACGCAAACAGCTTGACTCGCAGAAAGGAACGCTTCTAACCAGGGTGTACGGTCGTTTATTCGGTTCTGAGCTATAGCTCAAATGGTCGTTCTAGTTTCTCAACTATCCTCGCACCCTGAGTATCTATACCGAACGCCTGCACCACTAAAAAACCAAGCCCAATGTCCAGGTATTTAGTACGCATGAAAACTAAAAACTGATGGCATCTTGCAACCAGTTTTATTTGATTTATCAAAACACAACTGTCGATACCGAAGCTTAAATGGGAATGGAATCGGTGAGCAATCTATGCAGCCCCTATAGCCACAGAAGGTATTGCGCACATGTTAGGACGGCTAATATTGTACTATACTAATAGTTTCTCTGTACAGCTCAATGGTCTCGAATGATCTGTGTGCCTAAAACGTGCACTCATTAACCTTTTCAACTATGAGTGAGCCTGAACCACTGCATTGTTCGCAATTTCTTAGAATCTCTATGGATGGCTTCGGACATGTGACATAAAGCAGAGCGAAATGTTACCATTGAGGAGCTGTAGAAGAGGGACAAGTATGGAGTCCATGAGTTCGTACCTAGTTACTTGGCATAGAACAACAGGCAAGGTGGGACCATTCGCTTCCAGCATGATATCGTACTGGTGCAATCAGCCAAGAGTAGGCAGCCATAATCCGTGCAATTTTCGCTACACCTGTACAGTTCCACCCCACCACTGTTTATTGTACCCGTTATCCAAATCGTCCTCAGACGGTTGATGGATCTTAGCAAACCGAGCAACACAATGGGAGAATTAAGCGAGGTTGCTACTTTCCCTATGACACCCCAGCTGTGCTGACATTAGCGAATCAAGAGGTAGAGTTTCAACTAGTTACGGTAACGGAGAACGGGTGACCACTTTCGAGACAGTAGCGTCTACGAGTTTGCGTTGACATCGTGTATTTTGTTTACTCTTTAGATGCCAAAGATAATTTTTAAAATTTGGGTACCTGTTTCTAATATGTAAATGAGATTTCGTCACAGAGTTTTACGAGGCCGAGTCAATGTTGGTTGGCGCCAGGTGTAATACTTATTTTCTTAAATGTCTCTTATGACATTTGATTGGCATTGTATGTTTCTGACACACTGTAGACTCAACCTTCAAGGCGGGAAAGGACGCTTCTTTAAAGGATACGGGGATCTTTGGCACGAAGAATAACCCACCCTTTAAACCGTTTTAAACCACGATCAGAAAACAGCTTACTTACTGTGCATTTTTGGAGCCTTTAAATGATGCCTCCAAGGTGAAACTGTGGGTAAGTTCGAACTCCCTCCAAAAAACCACACGGCCAGTTGACTCCTTCGTGCGGTGGATGGAGAATTGGCATCCAGGTAACGAGAACTTTTCCGGGGTCTTTCAGGTACGGTGAAAGTGGGCAAATGGAGGCACAATGTGTATTCAAATAATTGATAACCAATAAGAGTAGTGAAGTTAGTACATGTACGCACACGGACCTGTTGACAAGAGAAAGATGGCGATTCGAAAGCTCGTACGATTCCACCACCTTTTAGAGGTCACTATCAAGTGCACTGTCAGAGTTTCATGTATACTGTGTTGCAGGCTGCTTAGTTTTATCGCCTACTTCTGGATATAACTGCACTGCCTCCAGTGGTTCAGTGAAGCTATCTAATTCACTATAATGATCATCATACCTAACCCGGTGATTTTACCAGTTCTTGCTCGCACATCTACTCCATTATGGTCAGTGCCCATTTTCAGGCGTGTTGATAGCCGCTCGATGACGGAGTCGAAGATAGAAGGTCTGTGCAGCTGCCGGTCAGTCGTGTGTTAAGCTCATCTCAAGAGAGATAGTGTACCTTACAACTGCATGGATTAACTAGACTCCCAAAGGTATACCGCAAGAAAGTGCAGTGTCATATACAAGAGACTGCGATATGTAGTTATCAAAGTCAGGAAATCATGACTCTTCATACGTTAAAAGCCAGAACTCATATGAAGACAGTTGAGGGTATGCACCTATTTTAGTGTTACCAAGGTCATAATGAGATCTGTCCCATGGGAAACCAGAGAATCTATCCGACAAAGTGCAGTCTCGAAAACACAAACACTCTCGTTCTCTTTTTTCTCATTGATATCCTCCAGTATTTCTTCCTGTCTTCATCTAGCTGTGCCTACATGTTTGTTTGGTTTTTCTCCTCCTCGTTCCCATTCATTCCAAATACTACTAATTAGCACTACCGCTGTGGTGCGGACTGTAGAAACTGTCGCTAGGTATTAATGAACCGGATTATGTTGTCCAGGTGTACAGAGAGCTGGTATAAAACAACAAAGCTCCGTCTGTAGATAAGACAAATATCGTGCAATTTCGTTGGTGTATCCTAAAAGTTTGTGGCATGTGTTCACATTGTCGACCTACGAATCTGTTGTGGCACATTGGCTCCATGTCCTCAGTTCACTTTTGCTTTATTAGTCTGCGTCCGTGTTACCAGTGCCCAGAAAGACGAGACGACCGACGGGTGCTTTCCCGAATTGCTAGTTGGAAGATTTTCCTGTACTCTAATGGCAATGAAGCAAATAAACCAGTCGAGTTTTGTTGAATCTCAACCGCACTGTGATAAATGTTTGTGAAACCTGTTTGTAAACATTTGCTTTTGGTAGCGTTACATGGCTTAGAATTCACCATGGGTGTGGAAGAGTTATTGCTCACCACCACTGCCCCCTGATGATCAAAGTGTAACGTAGTGCTTCGCGTCAATTATCGCAGACGCGATCGATTATCGGAAACCTGTGCCAACTACCTTTAAAAGCACTTAGCGAACAGTGATGGGAAGATCTACTTCATCTGAGGTTAGGCCTCTTTAGCTCAAAGGGATCTGCATGAGGGTATCGCGCATTCACTCATGTGGCAAGATCACACGCTTAAACCATTAGAAGGAACCAAGTCTTGACTAACTGTTCTCCGTTGAATGTGTGGAATCAGAAACATGGTCTATCTATTACTGGAGGAATCTGCATCCGCCACTTCCAACTGTGCTGTGCGTACTAACATAATTCGCATGCCCCCTATTTCTACCGTAACCTACAACTAGTGTTAAGTGCTCATTTGACTGGCACCCCAGCGAACCTTTGGTTCTAAAAGTGATATGTCCAGGTAACGCTCTCGTGCTTAATCTATTACCTCCAATAATAGCGTGATTTATTGATGTGGCCGGTTAATCAAACATTATAAGCACTAATCGGCCCAAACCGGCACACAAAGCATGTAATGCTTTCGGTGCAGACGTCTGAGTCTGACGACTGTTTCACCTAATAGAATTGTTCAATCAGTACCTGCTTCTCAGTTTGACTTTTGCTACTAACAGATACTGGAACAATTTTATCACCACGTTATCAACCGCAATAGATTTAACCATGAAAAGCTAGGCTTATGCGATGTTCCCTATAACCAAAAAGAAACTTAAACGATGTATAATGTATTCGCTTTTTAACAATTAGCCCATTTATTTTCAAAATTAACCACAGGGCTATACATGATGTCGCGGTCTGGAGAGTTCCCCGTTTGTCCGATTCCGTTGTGCAATATTCTAAACTTACTATGATGTCGTACACCTAAGTGATCGGGGAGGAACGTTGCGCGGTATGTGGTGTTCCATTGTTTGAGTCGGGCAGCGCCTTTGCTTGGCGCCTCGGTGGTCTCATCTGCGTGACTGTTTGATGTGCTGCATCTTTTCGTTTTCCTAGCTAGCAACTCTATCGGAGTCCAATTTATAGCTAGGGGAACAGAAGACTATTTTACATTATAGAATGAAATATTCGCAGCATTGAGCTGCTTTTTGAAATGGTAATCTGGGCTCCAGATAAAATAGTTTTACTGGCACCACGTTCCACCATCACACATATGATTCTCATTCCCGACCGAGCCCCCTACTAACGCGCCTCTAATTCGAGCAGCTTAGCCCTTATCATACCACAATATGCTGGCTACTGTGCTGTTTCTCCTAAACGAGTGGATCTACCACGGCGCGGAAATAGTAGAGAATGTTAGTAGTGTGTGAGTGCCAGGACCACCTGTATCGATCAGTATGAGTCTTGTGCGAAGGCAAACAACTGCTCTGCGCCGTAAGAGCATGTGGTACAACTTTAAGACGATGATACTTCAGTTGGATCGAATTCACAACACGTGGGAGGTCCAGCATCGCTACTTACTTGAATGCATTCACATCAACAATTCAGTTCACGTGGTAGCAGAAAATAGAAGATGACATAAGTAGCCCTTCTGTGCATGGTTGCAATTGCGTACTTGCTCGAACTTAAGCGTGGTATATTTACCTTAGAGGAAAGAAGATGTGTAATTTTTATAGCTGGGCGACTGGTCCATTTCAGAACTTAGCTAAACTGGCTAGAGATCATTTCTATCAACGAACTGCTGGCATGGGTGCAACTTACCCCTAGGTTTACATGCTCAGTCCTGAGAGAAGTAACAGTGTGCAAACATTTGTACAATTACAAATCAAATCTTAGGTAGCAAGAAGTTGTACTGGGCAACATCAACTTACTGATTTTGAGTTGCTAAATGTAGCTATTGAAAGCAATACAGCAAAAGGAATACTCTAATTATTAAAAATCACTATTTAAGCCAACTCTGTGTTCAATTAATTTGAGCCATTTGCGAAAGTATTCTTTGTCAGTATCCCCAAACTCTTGATATCTTAACCGTCTGTCACACAACCGCTTGCATAATCCTCAAAGGTAAGCTTCAGGGAAGTAGCGCAAACCATCACACGATATATGTCAGTGTATGGTTAACGAAGCCAAAAATCTCTGGCCTGTGTGATAATGTACGGAAACCTGACATGATCCACCCACTAATCGGGCACTTTTGCCAGATGAAGTAGTATGGGGTTGTATCCCTCTCAGCTTAAATTATCTAAATCCGCATGAGTACTACGATTTCTACAACAATCAAATTCTAAAGGAATTAGTTGAGTCATCTCTTTGTATTCCATGTACCTATTGATTTTTACCCACATTTTACTCTTCGGCGGTTGTCCGATCTATGAACAACAGTTTATGGTGAATCGTTAAGTAACTGCTTGTGATAAGTTACAAGTGATTCGCGCAACCTCACATACTGTCGATATACCAGTTGGTATACATGAGAAACGTGCCCCATGCTGAGGCTGATGTTGCATTCTTGATGCTTCTTCACCGCAGTTGGGCTAAACCAACTTACACTTAAACTAGGTCTTTTTAAGCTGGATAAATTGCATTCCGCTTTATTTGGTTTGTTCTGCCTCCCTGAATAATGTTCTATTAACTGGCCACGTTGCTTACACTAATTGCGCTTATCTTCGGTAATTTCGTTGCGTTTGTAGCAGTTTAAGTAACTTGTGGACATTTCTTACTTATCACGGATTTGTTGCTGACCAACTTACTTCATATGGTAATTTAGCGAAGAGTTAGACCACCGTATCTGTATGCATTATTGGATTTATTTTATTTCAGCTTGTCGTTTAAATTGAATGGCTGTTGTTTGATATCCCTGGTATGGTTGCGCTTGATGTGTATGTTGACAAGGTGCCTACCTGTCTATTACCCACTACATCCTTCCTACTGGCTCCAGGAGACAGTTGGTCGTTGCTGGAGGGGACGGGGTGCACGGTTCTTGTGGCCGTGCTAGGCTCAAAGAGCGGTTCCATGCACTCAGTGTGGAGCGGACTACGGTCCAGCCACCGCCTTGTGTGCGGTTGATTCCCCAAATACAGCGTGCTTGTGTTTGCCTGTGAAGGAGTGTGGGCCGGCTCCGTTGATGAAACGTGGTTCCCATCCGCATGCCTCCCGGTCTTATTCCTTCGGGTTTACACTGGATATGGGGTATGTGGTTGGAGCTGTGGGTGGTGCAGCGCAAGCCATCCATGGTCCCTCTGTAGGCGCAGGCGTCCTGTGGCTTGCCACAGTGACAGGCAAATCCGAAACCGGATGCCGCCAACCATACATGAGAAACAGAACGTCAAAGTGCCGATTCATTAGCCAATTTATCTTTACTCCGCACACTTCGTCGTTTTCTGTGGTCGTTACGGATTTGACCAAAACCTCGGTGCTGCGACATTACGTCATACAACTGTATCGACTGCGCATGTTGGTTTTCAACCTAGTGCGAAATGATCCACCCCAACCGTTGTGACAGTCGCTGGTCTCCGTACCTATGTTATTTAGAGGTAAAAGTTTCGACTGACATCCCAAAGGCTCTAGGTTCGAGTTCTTTCCATCCCTACCTGATGCGAGTAGACAAGTTCGAGACCGCGCTTGGGGTACAGTGTATTCGGACGGGCAACATTCAATCTTCTAATGCATAAGGTACTTTACGGCCATGATGGAGTGGTTTCGCGTACCAGCTGTGTGTCTTGGATTGCAACGCGCAATCTCAATTGTGGCTTCGGTTGACTTTGAAATCAGCCTCTGCCATTCCCCTCACTGGGACCGTAGCCGAAGCGGAAGATTTCGGTGTTGTTCTCTCCCGTCCCTGCACTACACGGTCGACGGTTTCGTCCTGGTTTGAAGTTATCAAGTGGAAATAGCTTGAACTGGGAGTGGAGCTCGGCACATGACCTTCGGCGGCTATCGCCATGATTACTAGATCATTGAGCTGCGGGAGCGGCTAGAAATTGATAGTGCGGTTTCGGAGTACTTTACAGCCTTTCAATGTGTCAACAGCCCCCATTACAACGAGTTCCTAACTACGCCAGTCCCCTCCTGACAGTGAACCCATAACCACTTCCGTTTCTTTACTAAGGAGAAGCAAATTACTTCCAATGGGTTGGTTTGGTTGAATCTAATCGTACGGAAATCCACGCCAGCTTTTTATTTGTTGCATAAATCCGTAATCTACCAACACAACCTATGCCATGGAGGTCATCCTGGTATGTTTTAAGTTCATTCAACAGTCGTGTTCAGCAAGTCCTCTTGTGATACAAGGAAACACTAGGAGGAGAATAAACGTAGTTTTGGAGTAAAACAGGACCGCGTTGATTTTAAGTAGCAGAAATTTGCAGGTTTTATCATAACTAAACATGAAAGCATGAAAGCTCCGTTTTGCGCCGCCTTGACTCTGTTCTGTTGTTTTGGCAACCATTTTGTCATCTTATTACATGCGGCACCACAGCAGCTATTACAATTAGTGCCGCTTCATTGTCAGTATTGTCACCACCGTTGAGATCATCCTGCTGCTACCATTTCGCAAAACAACCACGCTTCCTCGTGTCAGCAGGACACCACTATTGCAGACTAAGACCTCTGGTATGGAATGAGTTTAGGTCGACTAGATGAAACAATACTGGCTAGGTTTTTCGGGAATATATTACAAGGAGATAATACTCGTTTGCATACAATAGCTAAGCTTTAGAGTGTTGTTACCAGGACCCTGTTCGCGTTGAACACTGTACCGTACTATAAGTGTGATTAAGTGAACGGAATCACAGCTCGACCAAACTAGATAACCAAGGAACGTTACAAAAACAACGAAGGCGAGCGCTTGCTGATGCGAGCCATCTAAGATGCACGCTGTTTTCCTAATGAAAGAATCCCATCTGCCATTCTTCTCTTGCAAAACACGCTTAAGACTTAGGTCCGATAGTCATTTGACTGGGTCTCTTGTAGAAGAAATAATTCTATAAAACCACTTCCCTCGTTGAGTGGCCGTAGTCTGATTTTTACCTACCCCATTGTGGTCGCAAATAATGAAGAAAGCCTGGGGCTCTTCTACATCTCAATCCTCTTTTCTAATGGCATCTAAAGCAGAAATTGAGGGAATCGATTTGAGAGCACGCAAATAGAAATCATAGTGCTTTCAATGCAATACTTCATTATTCCGAAGCCCAGCTGATGATGGAGGTTAATAAGAGAAAAGCGGGGTCCTTTTATGAGCTTTTCATTGTTACATCAAAAGGGTTCCTTAGTATGAACTCTGTTTCCTCGAGCTCATGTGATTTGCAACACAGCTATACTGGAAACAGAGAAGGGATTGCGGTTCATGGTGCTACACTTACATGGTTATCCACCTCAGTTCGTAAAGCGTTTCAGTGACACCGTGAAAAGTTATAAAGAAATAACGGTTCAAAACAAACCGGTATGTATAGAGTTGCATTTAAAAATTGACCACCTCATGAAAGACACTGCGATACGAATAAGCGCCTCAATGAGAAAGTCATACAGTGCAAGAGTGTTACGCTTGACGTTGTCCACAGGACCACTACTTACGTGTATAATGAAGACACCGGGGTCGAAACAGCACACGTCCCATTACCCATACAAATTCACATGTAGCTATGGCGACAGCTATATTGGGCTCACTGATCGAAATCTTGGTGTTCATATCAATGAACACATCCCAACGTGGCTCCGCAAACGGATGGAACAAGGGATAATTGCACCAAACGAATCGAGAAGCAAGGTTGCCTCAGCAAGGACGAGGCAGTTGATGAATACTGGTCACGGGGCGAACCCGAAGAAGTCATTCGCAGTTCGCATGCGCAGTCAAGGACCCCAATTTCTCAAGTTCGGCGAGGCCATTGTTGTCCATCGACAAAGGTCACCACTTTGCGTTCAACAACAGCTAGCAGTGTCACTACGCCCGCTGTGGTAACAAGTAACGCACCAGCCATAAAAGAGTTGACCACTAAGCGATTTCCTGTGTTTATTTTGGTTCTCTTGTCGTGCGCAGAGGTGAACGTACGAAATAACAGTCTTATTCCACAACACTCGTCTTCTTCATATCTTCATATTTAGTATTATAAAGATGATTTCATGTTTCAAACCCCCCATGGAATAGGTTTGGGGAACACGCAAGTAGAAACCTTGGTAGTTGCAATGCCAGACTTCATTCCTCAAACTCGTCGCCAATGATAGAAGTGAATATGAAGAAACCGGGGTTAGTAAATTATGCAGTGGTGGTGGATGCAGTAACTGTCTATGAACAAGTGCCCTGCGGGAGGTTGATTTGCGAAATCGGCTGCTTCTGCTTACACATTAGCTTCATTATGCGAAACATGCATCCCTTATTTAAACAAAGCAGTGATCGCGTAGTAACGAATGCAAACCAGAAGAAACACTCATTGGTACTACTTGAGGATACTGAACTCTTATCTTACTGATAACGGGCAACACTCTGGTCAGGTTTTCAGCCAAGGTGACTGTTGCGCACGTGGGCCAGCATACTGATAGTTGTAGCGTGTGTAATCAACCTTACTAAAGCGCTACAGTTGTGCAATTCCTTACCGCCGAACTTTGCATGTGACCCAAACACAGTCCCTTGATAGAAAGGCGGAACAGTCAAGTGTCCGATTTTGGTCACGTATCGGAGTGAACCCGATATTTGGAAAATGAAGGGCTTTAAAGTCTTCAAAATGTTTTAGGTAGACGTAAAAAACGGCTGGAAAGACTAACGACACCCTTTTCTCACAGTCACCTTGCAGCAATAGTTACCTCGTGGCAACATCATCAAACAGCCAAGTGCCTGATTTCAGTCCGAAATGAGAGTAAAATCGACATATGAAAAATGGACGCCTTAACCCCGTCAAAAGCCTTTAGTTGGGTGTGAAAACTCGTTTCCTGCTAGCAATGATCATTTTCAACTTCAATACTTTTTCATAGTCCCTGCACAATGTTTTATGCCTAAGGAAGAACAAGTTTTGGGGTTCCGTTAAAGGGTTCCATTAGTTTCCTCAATACCAAGTGCTGCTTAAATAACCTCAAAGACGAGCTATTCATAAGAGTGGGGTTAGGGTTTTGGTGGAAATTCGTTCCGTCATAGCCTTTTCCGGACGGAAATTGTACGTAAGTCGTACATTCGGCGGACACTTATGCTGTGAGGGTCGGTACATACTGGAGGTCTTAAAATTTCTTTCACCTTTCAGCTGTTATCAGCATACCGTCAGCCCGTTAAAGGAGCTTCCTAATCGTTCGGTGAATTATCCTGACCCAGGCGAGGCTCACTGAACAACACGTTTTCGTAGTAGGCAGATAGACGGTTCGTTCACGATTCACAAGGTAAAAGCAGAGTTGGAAGCTGCGAAGCGGTGAGGCATTTCATTACTGTGTTTGCTTTAATGTTAAAAGAAACGTTTATTTGAGAAAATGCATTTTCCGTACTAGTTCGTAACCGCGGACTTCGTTTTTGCTGCGTACAGCTCTCGACGTTTAAATGAATAAAAAAGAATAAATAAATTTATATTTTTAGCGACAGGTGGTAAATAGCCCCTGAAACGACAGTGAGCATCCTAATGCAACATGTTGATATACTTATCGCTGTTACTTGTCGCTGTTACTGGTGATTTGCCACCGTTCTCCCTGAGCTTGACACTATCTCCCATTGGACGCATCTGATTGGGCTTTAGGCGACAATTTTGTCATTGGCTTGCTCAGTCAGATGATTTGAGTTCCTTGGTTGGCTTTGAGTACTGCTTGTCGGCGAGGCTGATTGCTATTTAATTAGTGCCATTTGCTGAAGTGAAAAATTCCTTGCTCGTATTCGTCTTGGTGTTCTCGTTACCGAGGTGGGTAGGATCATTTGCGGCAGACACAATACTTATGACACCTTGCCAAGAGTGGTCGATAAATATACGCCACTTTTAAGACATTTACAGCTACTATTTTCTTCTCATTACGAACAGGTTCTGGTCCATTTGGGCAGCTGAAACGCGTGCAACTTGCTTGGGTACGCAACTCATAACAAAGACAGGTTAGATCAATGGGGTGGCATTCTTCACAAATGCATCTCAGATCGGATGGCATATTCAATGGTTCTCATCTAATCGATGAAACAATCGTTCCAGTCTTGTAACTAAAGCACTTCCCAGGAGCTGCCAGAGTACGAAAAATAATGTGGAAAATGGTCTAATTAAAGACAAAAATTCGACTGGCCTTATACAATATACCCACCTGCTTCCAAACAAAATACGGCAGAAGTCGCTCTTGAAGGCGTCCAGATGAAAGATTATCGCGTTGTGTCTTCTGATTCCCGGACTCGGCAGAGGAACGGTAGGCAGCGTCGCAACCATACATGAAAACATTGTGCTTTCTGCTATGCCCGTGCAAATCACAGAATATTGTATCCTGAAATGGATGTAGACGTAGAGTGCAGGAACGACAGCATAACCGATAACCTCTGAAGCAGCTACCTGTATTATATATTCTTCATTCTCATAAGTCATGTTTAATGAAAACTCAGGGTGCGTATACGCATGATGTCTAATCATACTAACTTAGGACAAAGAACAAGTGATTGATGTTTTATGCCCTAAATGCCCTTGCATGGGTCAATCATGACTACACCTACCAGGACACTTGGCAATTAGTATTATCGAATGTTATGTGCACTTGGAGTACCGAGGTGGAAGCAAAAGGATCTTTATAGTATGACCAATGCTTGTTGCAGAGCCATTTAAGTGTCTTCAAACAACCCGTATATCGAGTGCAAGGGGAAAAGCGGATTGAAACACAGTATTGGAAACTATGCCATGTGTGTCAGAACATAATCCCATGGGTTTAATGCTTGTGACAGAAATAGCGGCTTTTCCTTAGCGTGGATACTGAAATGTTACAATTGCATTTCAAAATCCTCCGAAGAAGTCGGAAAAGAATTTTCCTCCTTAATTTAGCTGAAAGTACTAAGTGTGTTTTAAGTGGCTGTATCTTAATTGGTTTGCAAAAATTCTAACTTTAGAAGGAAGGAATCATGTTTAGCCGTGTTAGCTGTGAGTGACTGCCAACTGACTTAATGCCAGCTCCTCTCAATGGCTTCCTTGTTGTCCGCGCCCTTTCAGGTGCTGCTGCACTTTACCCGCTGACCTCAATAATCCCACAAGTACGTGTCGTTCAGACCCCATGTTGTGCAAAGGAACAAGGCACGAACACTGGTTGTTCCTTTAATTGTGACGCTAAGTGATAGCATGGTAACCTATAAGCTACTTCGCCCTGTGTGTGATCATTAGTGCTGGAAGTAAACTTGCCAGATCGCTTCTCATCGAGATCTGCTTACCGATTATTACAAGTTATAATTGTGCTCGTTCAGAGATAAATGCGTCATAATAGGTTTCTCTTACTAAATACACAGTATCATGGACATCTTTCAACGCCGTACGCAGACACTGTGTAATGTATTTAAAATCACATGTCTAACGAACAGAGTCGGTCAGTTGTAAGGTAGTGTTTGTGCAGCGGGACTTCATGACAGCAATGACCTTGAACCTGCTGATCTCTACATCTAGTTCTTGCCATGGCAACCCCCTTATATTCGGCAGTCCGTTTAATTGCTGCAGCATGTTAGTCGCCGTACAATGTAACGTGTATTGTATGGTTGATATAAACTTACTTTGACGAATAAACGGCATTTGATTTCTACTTGGGGTGCACGTACCACTTCAAACGCCCGTTACAGACAAGCACTAACCCTCGGATCCAACACTACCCCCTTGTGGTCTAATAAAATGCACCAGGAATACGTCTGAATCCTATGCGCATCCTGTGGGTTGCACTTGATGAGGCTAATCGGGTCTCTGCTCCTCGCCTGACACGTTACGAAACCACAGAATACTGCTACCAAGTCGCATAGGGTATAATTCGGGTGTGAAGTTTGTTACTTGGACCTAATAGGTAGTTAAGTTAGTTACTTAACTTACCATTGCCCAGGTAACAGGATTTCCCTTACTATCCAACGACCATAGTACACGAAAATCTCACTTGTCGTTTGACACCTTACACGAATCCAAAACAAATAAAGCTCTTTACAACTAGGCGCACAAGAGTCGTCAAGCCCCTGACTATTTCAGCTCACTGCCTCCATTCTGGCCGACCAATATGGAAGCTAGCAATGGCGATACACCTTTATGATGTTCCTGATGGCGCTCACTCGAACTAGCCGACAGGTTACAGGGACCACCACTTGACACTGTAGTACAGTGGCATTTACTGCAGTAGGTGACGAGCTTCGCTCAATTCGGCTTCCGTAACACCACGTTCGCATCCTTCGCCACGCCTAGCAGTAGTCCAGAGTCAACAATCTTCACTCCAAAACGCATGGAACATGTCCTCACGGCTCTAATACCTTCCGAGTTATAAAACGACAGAACGGACCTCCAGGACGTCGCGAGCTCTTAGTTCGCTGTGTGATTTTCAGTAGCGAATTCCATTAAGCTTCCCAAAGGAATTATGAAGCCGCCGGATGTCTGGGAGTGAGTGTTTGTACTAACTTCTGACACAACACAATAAAATACCACTTTGGTGGAGACCACGGCGGATTCGTCAGCCTTCTCCTTGATCCCAATAAGTACATAAACCGAAGCTCCTGTCATACATCCACGATCAGTCTTGACTTAGTTTGATGCAAAAGGCGATGACTATGATCAGTCGATGACTAGTTCCTTATACTTGTGACCCACTTTGCGTCCAAACTCAGCTATCTCCATGCGAAACGAAAACATTGGTGAATCCATTACTCTAATACATTAATGCAAATGCGATGACGCTTAAGAAAACCAACTTATGTTGAAGTGTAACTAAATGCTTTTATTCTCCCAACCGTCAGTCCACAATAAGCTCCAAGTAGCATGTGCTTGGATAAGTTGGTAAGCAGGTGAGTACTGAAGGACGTACTTCTGAGAACCGACCGTGTACTGTGCGGTAAGATGCATGAAGGTAGACAGTGATCTGTTATGAGAAACGAAAAGTAAATATCAACATCCACCATGACAGATCCTACAATATTCGCTATAACAGCGAAGTTGTGGCATCGAACCTCTCACAGAGCGTCACACGGTAATGTAGGCAGTTCGCGAAGAAACGGTGCAGACCACTAGTGCTTCCCCCAATAAGTACAGTTGGTCGACGTCACTTGAACACTGGCGATAACCCACACCCAGCATAGCCTTCAGCTGTCTAGATGAACAAGAATGTCCTAGGTACAGAGGAAAAAGAGGGTTGACTTAGTAATTGGGAAGGAGGTCAATAGGCCCTACGCTTAGTACTGTGGATCGATATCACAGTCTAAGATGAGGAGAAAACAAACTTACGGAACAAAGCTGACGACCGACACCAGTGCCGTGTTCACGCTCGTTTCCCGGTCGGATAACTTGGTTTAAGCGTTCTTAATGCTGAGTCGTCCTTGGATTAAAGCTGACTATACCACAAATTAGTTGAATCGTTGTTGAATCTGTTCCACCGATGCCGCCCTTACTTCTCATGTTAACCAGTTACAAATGCCCCCAAGTGGTTGGCAAGTTGTATTCACCTTGACTTTGAAAGTTTACTAAAGCAGATCGCTGTCTTAGTTAACCTTTCTTTCTACCATCTGTACTTTCTACATCCGTAAAACGATTACATTTGTGTAGTATTGAAGCAACAGTTCGACATACTGGTGTATGTTAGACGCTGCAGCTGAAGATGATAACTACGACATTTGAGCAAGTGCAATTCTACGAAACGCCATCAGTACGTCATACGTGCAACGTGAACTCACTCGATAACGCATGATAGACTCTTTGACCAGGCGCCTTGTATGCCATACGGTGGGAAAGACATCTTTGTGTGGGTGACGATAGTTACGGTTCAAATCATGGCCGGCGAAGGATGAGCTGTGCATACAAGCAGAAAAAAGTTAATGAGAATTTTAGATTTCTTGAGAATGGATTGTCCCATTCTCAGCCGGCTCTTGAAGTCATCAATTGAGTCTGATCTAACCACCAAACCACAAAGATGATCAATTCAGGAACAAATGGTTGTGGATTTGTTAGTCCCTCTTTGGTTCACCTTGAGCTGAATGATCACATACTACCTAGTGCATGAAGCAAATGTGCAATTTAGATAGGAGAACAGACATCCAACAGCGTGGCGCATCATGGCATTCAATGGTACCGTGATGCACCGCCAAACTGGACAGGTCGGTCTATAGGTGATTAGAAGCAGCCGCGTTCGTTCATTCATTTGCGCTCGTTAGGTTGACTCTGATCGACGAATGAGACGCATCTGGGCCAAAGCAACTGCAGACGAGGCACCCGCACCCCATCAGAAAAGAAGAGTGGTTGTCTTGCATCGATCTACAAACGCAGCTAATTCCCTTAGCCCCCTGTGGATCTTTAGGGATCCAGAGCCTAACCCGCTGGCACCTCATTGCTCAAAACCTTTCCAATAAGATGGTCGAAATGAAAGAATACTAGTCAGCAAACAATGAGACATCAGCGCCAATAAGAATTGACTGCTTGCAGGGACAAACGATTCCGAATCCACTCTGTCTGGTATGTCGCTCACTGAAAATGACAAACATTGCAAAGTAGAAAAGGCAATGCTGTATTGCCGAAATGACTTACTGTATGTGGCCATCTAGGAAGCAGATACACCGGTCCCAAATTCTTTCCAGTGCCGCTTATTAGTTAGGGGAAGAAACGCCTCCCTTTATCCTTAATGTTCCTGCTCCCCAAACTCTGCACCAGCAATGGATTCCCACCTGGCTACTGCCCTAAGACGCAATCTAATAGGGAAATGCATATAAATCTTCATCATGGGTGATTTCGATGTACATTCAGTAGAAACTCCTACCGCGAATGGAGAATTAGTCAAGATTAGTTTACAATAGCTCAATGCCAGTGTTCCGCTTTATAAGCAAACCATTTTCTTCATTAGGTTTAAAGGAGCTCATCGCTGCTAGACCTTGTGTTCACTAACGAAGAACATATGATTGAAGTATTAGCTAGAGACTGCCCTTTGGGCCGCAGCGGCCATGCATTCCCAAGATTCAGGTCCCTCTTTTATGAGGAATATCCAAAGGAGGATCATAAGGTGGTATGCCCTATTTGCCACTATAACTTCTAAACCCAGCTCCAATCTGCTCGTTCCTCACGGAAGACATTCAAGAGGCTGCCTGGAGCGCACTCGTCAGCAGGTACAATATAGTGATCAAAGTAGCCTCTGGCAGAAATGGGTACGATGGGCTCAAATCGGTTTCTATCATAAGAAGCAGAAAGCTGTAGTCCATGGCTTCAAGCAGCACTGCATAGCGATCAGGTAGGTGCTCCGGAACGCGTGATACTCAAAAAGCCAGGTACTCTAACGTCAGTAATGCCCTCAGCTACTCCTAGTAGGTAGTGAGGAAGCTACAGCGTACGGCAAGAATTTTCATTGCTAGTCAAGAACTACAATACAAGCACCTCAATTGTCTTACTTCAGTCACGCAAAATCGGCGTGCCCGTGCTAAACGACTTCAGCTTGTAGAAGTTATCAGACTCAGTGTAAAGAACGGAAAACCAACACAGCAAACGTGTGATTGACGGCAACTGTCAAATGAGATACCCAAGACTGACAACTTGGACAAACTTTCAACCTTAAATCAAGCAGTCACATAAGGAGGCGTATGGTGACTTCATATTAATATACCGACTACTGCGTTGTCCCAGTCACACCAATGGTCACTTAAAGAAGTTCCACTGTGAAATTAAACTGGTAGGTAATCAATTGACAATGAGCACCGTATCTAACAAGACTGTCACCCCACGAAACTCCTTCCTTTGTGCCTACAAAAGTGGTACGCATTCACAACATCCTTCTTCACCGCTTGCATGTTGACTATCTGCAAAAAACGATCGGAAATCGGAAATCTTCAAATAGCTCCTCTTTATGAGTCACGTATTTTGAAGTATCACCTAGTGAAGTAGATAAATTCCTCGGACATTACCATCCAACAAGAAAGTTGCGATAGTCTTCTTAATCCATGCACCTGATAAAACTTGTAAATCGCTAACTTTTTCGCTCGTAATACGTCACACTCGCCGCAGTTCGCTGTTCCTTAGAGATGGTAAGTATTGTCAGCTGTGAACTGCGAGGTTACATATGCAAGCTCGTTAATAACCAGAAAGAAGATAACATGGTTTTTCCTCCGTACTGATCGATTTATTCATACGTCACGCCACCCAGTGGGTGCGTTTGGGTCTTCAGCGTGACATACCACTCTGTGACGGAACAGTCACATTTCCTTTTATCTTAATCATACGCCACGTCATTTTTGTGTTTGTAAGCCTTCTTTTTTGGTGATGGATATAATTCTTGATTTCCGACCCACCATACCTATGTGAGAGTCATCAAAAGCTTTCCCACTGCTTGTGCACGAGAGACTGGCAACAAAATGGTGGAGACGCAGATTATGGATTTATGTTGCAACGGTTGACGTTTTGTTTCACCTTCAGGAGGCCCCATAGATGCCCATGCATAGAGGATGGTTGTGAAACTTGAGCGCAGTTCGTGTAGCAAGCCCAATGCGTCTGGTGGACACCATCCAACTTTGACAGTTTCGCAGAAGCACACTCTCGACAGTGTCGAGACGCCAAGGCGGACGACACTTAAATATGTTGCGGTGTGGTTTAAATCGACCAGGGGGCTCTATTCAGTATTTTCAATTGCTTTACCGATGATTCGGATGTTGATCGAGTCGTGGACTTGCGCACCAGTCACAAGTCTCAGAAGAATGACGCAGTCCCTGGCTTCTCCTCATGTCGACAAGCAGTCTAACCGTGATTCATGCACTGTAAATTTATGTTCGGAATTATAAGAAGTCCTTGTCCCAAGTTTCCTTTTAACTCATTTAATATCACCTATTGTTCGGTCAACTGGCTTGACTACCCAGATGTGTTGCCTGAAATATAGTGTTATGTACCACCAAAATTAGCACTGGTTAGGTCGATTCAGTATATATCCCAAGTATCAGTAAGTCCACAACCAGGGTCCAGCCACTCACATTTTAAACACAGGAATGGTTTCATTGGTCAAAAAGCAGCTTACCGATAATTTCCGATTATCACTCCATCAGGATTGAGCATAGGTACCAGGAAGAATACAAAACGGCTACGTAGTTGAACAACTTCCGGGCTGTTTCCACACAAGAACCGCATCAACCCGAGCATAATCCAGCTGGAATTTGTCTCACCAGGATGCACTCTTGCAGTAACGACCACGCCTGTCTTCTGCGTGTCCCCAATGTCTGATAAGTGAAGCACGAGGGCGAACAGATTTCTCAATGGTGTAGCTATTTTTTTGAACCGAATGCGTGGCAAACATTACAGATGCATTAACGTAAGAATGATGCTGAGTAAGAAGTACTGTTTCTGTGCAAGTCGGAGACGGGTTATAGGAAGATGCTGTTGGAGAGAACAGGATAAGAATAATTCAGCTAATTCATCGTCGCCACTCCCAATCAGCGTAAATAGAGAAGACGCTTGACAGAAGAAGATAAACTTTCGGAGGAGCACTCTGTGACATGCGACGGTTCGGCGAAGACTGCTCAAGGAATGTCCAGTGAAGGGAAGGCGGGTGGACATGAAACAGAGAATGTGATGTGAATATCTGACCATAATTAGTGGACGGATCAAAAGAACAAAGCGGGTTGCTGATTACGTTCGTACCTAACGGACTTCGTCGCTGGGCGCAGCAGATGACTTTTCTGATCAGTTGGCGCGGGCAGCGCTATGCTGAGCTCATTGGCTCGGAAAAGCCATTGTTAATGACAGCGGACCAACAGTATATCGCGAAACGGCTTGTCAGTCACTGGTTTGTCTTTTCTTGGTGAAAACCCTATCTTTGAATGGCCGATCGCCTTGACAGGAGCCTGCTACACGCCTTTTATTTTTGACATGTGTTACCTTTACCAAGGTTTGTTGTGTGGTCTAGCAGGCCACAGAACGATCTTTCAGACAGAATAGACCGGCATGAATCTTATTCCTTACGATATGCGGCAAAGGCGATCAGCGCATTATCTAATGGTTTAACAGCATGGTACCAAAGTGGTGAGCTATGATTTACTATGAGCATAAATTTCGTCTAAAATCCCAAGTGCGGTAAACGAAATTGTATTTTAAGTTCCCTATGGACAACCTGTCAGTTCATATGTGGCTAAATCCCTCCTTTAAAAGATTGCTTGCCCAGTAATTTTAATCTAGGGCGCTAGTTGCGTATGTCACACATATGCCCACACACTTCAAAAGGTGGACGGGCCAGCATAAACCACTTTGCTATTTTCGATGCAGTCAACGTAGGGCCGAAACCGTTGCGTCGACGATGCTGGTCCAAGCATGCTGGCATTTTTATATGGGCTCGAGTAGGTACTGACAGTGATTCACATTCAGTCAGCAGTGCGGAGCAAGGTACAGCAACTGTTAACGCATCGATTACTGTGTGTATTATTGTTCAGATTTGCTGATTCATCAGACCGGTTATTAACAAGGTTATCAGAGATACGTTTCCACTGCTTACTCTATCGGGTACGGAAACTTGACTCAATAAAATAATCATCAAATGTTTACTAAGAGTAAAGAAGTGCATCTCACACACAACCCGTAGGTGGTTCGGGTTGACTTCGGTACGGTTATCCGAAGGCTACAGGCGAAATTTGGAGGGCAGAATAATAGTGTACTCGGTGTCGTTTGTGATCGCTCCAGAGAAGTCAGACAATGCATTGGTTTGGCTGCGGGACTTCCGCGGGGGTTAGGATGAGATTTACACATCGATTGTCTTCTTGAGTTCACTCAGAGCTGATGTACGCGTTTGCTGGAAGAGCATTTCATGATAAGCGATAATGTTGGACAACAAATTAGGTGACTAAATTGCTTCACTAGATTCGAATAGCGGCTACGTAGACATAGATAATTCCATTAACCTAGATTCTGGTATATTAGTGTAACATTACCCCCTAAGCGTTGATGTACTATGTTGAATAAGCGAAGTGCCTATAGTCTCGTAACACACAAAACATGATCTCATAGTTGTGGCTGTCTTTCGAACAACTTCATCAGGGGTGCAAAATCGCGCTTTTTCCAGACCTGAAAGAGCTAGATAGGACATTCATTGCGGTTGCCTGTGTACTGCAGCATCTAAAGCAAGTTTGTCGGGTGAAACCGCCGGAACTTCCTTTCCAAGCGACTGAAATATTGACTGTCTTTTTCCTGATCCCTATTTAACCGGTATCAAACTGTCAATTTTATTTTACGTGAGAGTACTGAAATCTGTCACGAGCAGTATGCCGCAAATTTTTTAGTTGGACAGGTACTTGTAGCGGCCCTGATGCACATACGAAATACTTCGCGCTTGGCTGCATTAATCTGGGGAGTACACAGATCATCCATGTTACATGCCGTGTCAGCTGTCATGACCCGCTACTGCCCACCTATTTCTCCGTCTACCATGGTCAGAGCCATTGTTTCAAATGTTTCGGAGGGTCAAGAAAATGCGTACTGACGGCAAGTTGTCAAGAGACGAAACGACCTCCTGCTATTTCCCGATATATACGGTAGTTGTATGGATGACGCCAATAGAGAAAACATAGCTGAACTATATAATATCAAATTAACACGTATATGACTGACGCTACGGAGCCATCCGCACACTATTTGTTAGCCGCTGTTTACGGCGGAATGATAGACAGGAATTCTAAGTCAGCTAAGGGTCATTTGAGCCCATAATTACCGTGGCGGGATGATATTAGAGTTTCCGATGTGTACCGTACCGGCGGTACGGTCTAACGCAGCAGCCGTTATTGCGATCCACTGGAAAGGTAAAATGTTGCGTTGATCAACAAGGGGGTTCTCGTTGTGGTTGGGGCTGAAACTGAAAGAGATGTAGCTTCTCACAACTAAGGCAAGCACTTTAGTGGGAGCGTTGAAAGTCAAGCTGGATAACAATCTTCAGGGACAGTGATTGACCATCACTTGGTGATCTTATAATTTGTTGCTTAGAGTCATGTGTTCGGCACACACAGAAGCTGGTTACTACCTTGTAGTAAAGTTCCGCCGTGTAGCAGGAGAAACACAGGCCTTTATCCAACCCCATATCCGAAGGTGTTGAGACGCTTGGATCGTGTAAACAGTTGTACGAACTCACAGTTGGCAAATATGTCCCAATGTTGTTCTTAAAAATCAAACAGACGGTGCCCGCACAGTCCATTCATTCTGAGCTGGCCGGTATCCTGTTCCCACCCGTTATAAGTCCGGTAGGGACCATGGCATTGCTGCAGAGCAACAGTTGTCAATGTGCCAACCCGTTACCGCACGAGCGCTGACGCCTCCCTGTGAAATAGCACTTGGTCTATGGAACTATGGAGTCAGATGACAGGCCGGCTTCTTCGACGGTTCCTCCATGGCAAGTAGGTTGGTTGGGTTTTGAGTTGGTGAATAGGACAAATTTCTTGCCCACCGCCATTGCAGAGTCAGGTCTCGAAAGGTTATATCGTTATCTTATAAGTTTAATAATATGCATGTTTTAACCTTATCAGCTCTACCTGGAGCACGGACTACAATAGTAGAACTAATCACATAAAAGATTGGAGCTGTGCACTCGGCCGCCGAAAAAGAAATTCATTCGAAAACTGATCAGTAGCGTCTGGATAGCTACCGGACGTTCACTTGTCCTTTTTGCAGCCATTAGAAATGTACAATTACTCAACCCCGTCATGCGCTTACTAGCATTTTGACTTGCACCAATGCAACCCTGCGAACTCAAGAGGTTTTACAGCAGTCGTCTTCCTGACGTTAGAGGCCAATTCATATTAAACCGGTCGCAAGTGATAAGGGCACAGTTTATTGCTGAAGAACATGTTAGCGTAATTTAGATTTTTTGTATTCTTCACCCACACCCACTAACCGACTACTGGTTTGCCGATGTTCCCCTCAGCGTTTTCTTCTTCTTCAATGTTGCTCATAAAAACGACGAACGACCCTAACTCGTCTGCTCCTCAAGAAATATAACTCCTACAAGTTAACAGTGTCCCGAGCGTGGAGTAAGCGGTAACCGCCTTCTTGGTGTTCGACGCAGTCTCTGTAAAATACCTCCGAATCGAGCGACTGCTTGCTGTGATTGGGAATGACAGTGTCGAGGAACGGATTGACAGAGGAACCAACGGATGAACAATAAACAATGAATTTATACGGGTTAAGAAGCGTTGCTTTACAAGTCCCGTTGGATAGTTGCAGGGGATATCAACATAACAATAATGATGATAATGATAGTAAAATAGTTAATACTTTAAACATGAAAATAAGGACTTATCGTTTGCTTCGCTGCAGTCCTGCGATCCTCTTAAATTCACAGCATCCACAATTAACAACAAATAATTCCATGGTAAACTCCAGGTGTAGGATGGAGACGTAGTGTTAAGTAACAAAGTGTAAGTGGATGAGTGCATCGTCCAACCGTCTTTTAAATAATGTTAGTGTCGGTGCAGAGACGACCGATTCTGGGAGAGCATTCCACGGATGACAGACACGGATGGAAAAGAAATTTCTGCGGCACTCCAGACGACTGTATTGTTCTGCGAGTTTTAATGAGTGGCCCCTCAGGTTTGTATTGCTGCTGAGTTGCAGTAAAGGGCGGCAGACATGATGTGGGTCTCGCAGAATCAAGTATGCCATAATCAGGTCGCCTCGTAGTCTGCGATAGCTTCCACTGAACGATCCCAGTCGTTGTAGCCTCTCCTGGTAGGAAAGATTGCGCATTACAATTACGTTCTTAGATGCCCGGCGTTGTGGCTGCTCCAGTGCATTAAGGTCGTGTTTCAGCCATGGATGCCAGGCTTGAATTGCATATTCGACATGGGGGCGAACATACGCACTGAGCATTTGTCGAAATATGCAGCTGTTTATTTGTCCAAACGCCTGCCTCAACAGCCCAACGTGTTGGTTCCCGGTCTTCGAGGCCTTTTCGGATTGCCTGGAGCAACCCAAGTCATCTTGAACCAGGACACCCAAGTCACGTTCGAGAGTTGATTGTTGCAGAACATCCGTTCAGAGTCGGTATGAGTAGTTGCTTTGATGTCGGATGGAAAGCACCTTGCATTTACTGACGTTGAAATGCAATAAGTTTTGGGTCGACCATTGATACACCGTATCTAAATCACTCTGAAGTACATGTTGGTCGGCGTTCGCCTGGATCCTGCGCCAGATCTTGATATCGTCGGCAAACATTAGGAAGTTTGAAGCGATTCCCTGTGCAAGGTCATTAATAAACACCAAAAACAAACGTGGACCTAGAACCGAGCCTTGTGGCACACCACACTCGACTTGTATGGGGTCCAATAAAGAGCTCCGAACTCTGACCACTAATTGCCTTTGAAGTAGAAAGTTGGCGATCCAACTTAAAAGAGGGTCTCCGATCCCGTAATGCTGCAGCTTGGATAGTAGTATCCGATGGTCCAGACGATCGAAAGCCTTGGAAAAATCCAGGTAGATCACATCAACACCTACTCCAGCGTCGGCTGCCTCGGTCCAACTACTGCGTGCAATTAGTAAATTAGTCGTACATGACCGCTGTCGACGGAAACCGTGCTGTTCAGGAGTGATGATGTTGCAGTTTTCCAGATAGCACACCAGTGCATCGGCAACTATGGATTCCATGACCTTGGAGAGTATAGGAAGAAGGGTTACTGGGCGGTAGTTGAAGGGATCAGTTCTATTTCCACCTTTGTGAATAGGGCTTTTCATTCCAAGCTTCCACATGGCGGGAACTTGGTTCTGGTCTAAGCAGTGCTGGAAAAACTGAGCTAAATGTCCTGCCAGTTGGTTTGCTGCTGCTCCCAATGCCTCTGGACGAATGGTGTCGACACCCGGCGAGCTGTGTTTGCGTAGAGAAGTCAGCTTTGCAATACAGCCTCTGCGGTAAAATTGATGTGGGTTAGTCCTGGTGAGCAGAATACAAAGCTTGGTAAATCGCTTGGTGACAAGACTCTTTGAAACGTGGGGGCGTATTGCATCTGCAGCGCGTTTGCTGCTTCCATAGACGTTCTTGTTGGGCCATCAGCCGTCTTAAGTGGAGGAAATCCTTGCCTCACCTTTCGTAGGCTATTAACGTGCTTGTACAGCAGTTTGTGGTTAGCACTGAAGGTTTTTCGATGTTCTGCTGACAGGCGGCTTTGTCTTCTCTTAACAGTTGAGTGCAGTGGTTACGTTGGGCTACGTAGTTGTCCCAATTTTCTGGTGCTGGAGCTTCTCTGTACACTCGCCATGCTGCGTTGCGTACTGCCATCCATTTGCGAGTTCTCCTCCTACTGAAAGAAACTGATTTACACTTGTTGCAAGCTTTTATCTCTGAAGCCTGCGCAATCAGCTGACTGAATGTGAGGACGAACTCGAGCCAGGCGACTTCCGGGGGTTCTTTTTCGAGAAAAGACCATGTTGTGGCGCTGACTAGCTGGGCGAGTCGGTCGTACCTAGTGATGGTTCGCACAGTCTCATCGTTATCATCCAGATATTCTGCATAGCAAACGAAGTTGAAACTGATGACTGCGTGATCACTGCGACCCAACGGGCAGTCTAAAACCAACACATCAATCATATGCTCCTCGTTGGTAAGCACAAGATCTAGCACAGATGGCCTGTTGCCAGTCCTGAACCGAGTGGGCAAAGTGATGTGGTTGTAAAGAGGAACAGTAGTTACTAGACCTTGTAGATCGGCTTTGAATTGTTCTCCGATCGTGGCAGGGGCTTCTAAACAATGTACGTTGAAATCATCCATGGTAAGTATGTGAGTGTACTTTTGTTGTAAACTGCACCTTAAAGTAGCCGCTAGGTGGTAGTCGGTTTCGGGTGTTGAGTTAGGGGCGCGGTACACCAAGACAATAAGGCAAGCGTCCCTGCCTTTTAACTGCAACCGGCACCAAAGAGAGTCATGGAACTGCGAGTCTGAATCCTCCACGGTTTCGCACTCTAAGTCGTTTCGGTAGTACAAGATTACCCCTCCTCCTTTTGTGAGCCTGTCGTTCCGGATTAGCGACATGCAGGGTAGAGACACTTCAGCGTCCGTCATTCCCATGTGCAACCATTTCTCGGTGATACCAATGACATCATACGAGCATGAAGCTTGGCGATCTTGCAGTTCAGCCAGTTTGTTAGAAAGACGCTGAGCATTCGTATACAAGCAGGCCAGTTTCTCGGTCTCTAGGAGCCCACAGAGAGGTGAAGCTGTCAAGTGTGGGAGAATGCCGACCGATGGGAGGTCGGCAGTTACTCGTTTTTTATGGGCCAATGATACCTTGTTTGCAACCTGATTCGGCCAAGGTGCGTCCCAGCCTTCGTTTAGACCTACGTCAGAGTCCATTAAGGCAGCAGTCAAGTTACGCTTCTGTACATTCGTCAGTATGCTTGCTGCTTCAGTTGCTTTAATACTTGAGCTATGCGAATTGTTTGCGACCTTTAACCGAATTTCGGAGGGAAGATGTTTCCGATTTCTCCGCCATCGATCCAAAACATCCTTTGCTTGTTGCTCTGACTGAACCACAAGTTTTAGGATTCTAGGGCCACATATTCTATAATTCGATGAGAGAGGTATCCTGGTGAGCGATAGTGCCACAACATCATCCAAAGAAAGTGTTCCACGAATGAACCGCCACTGTTCTAAATCGTGCTTTCCGGTCTCTTGAACATCGTTAGAAGGACGTTCTGGCACGCCATGTATGTAGATTGTGTTTATGCGGTCTTGCTTGCTGTGCCCCTCTTCGGTGTTTCGTTTTGGTTGTCGCGCGCTCCAAGGGACATCAGGATAGATACGTATCCCACGTGATTCGTGTTTTAGCGCGGTTGCGGAGAGCAAAACGTTTTCTACGTCGGTGGGGGATTCTAGAGTTACTCGAATAAGTCTGGGTTCACCATAGTGTGGCGAGTTCGGATGACGAGTAATTCGTAACATGTTTATGGGCTTGGGTTTGATACTCATCTGCATACACAATGAGTTCCATTGGTCTTGGTCGTCTGATAACTTATCCCGCAATGTGATGGCGGTAGATTCAGGGACATTTGAGCATACAACAGTCTGGGCACTGTTGTTGGATCCCTTTGTAATCGATCTACAAGGTATGGTACTCATTGTCCTGACTTGTTGACAAGTGATTGTTTGCTGTTTTTCTCTCCATTTGCGTTAACGGTGTTTACAATGGCAGAGGACGCAACGGCGGCCTCTCGGTGGACCCTTGCAGCAATCTCTGCATATGTAACCGATGTTCTGGGAGGCTTAGTCTCGACAAGAGATATTCGAGCTACAGGTACCAAGGGTTGGTGTTTGGCTGCTTCATCCTTGTTAATACTAGACGTCAGGTCTAGTGGAATTTGCTTAACCAGACGTTTTGAATGGTGCCTGATTTTCGTTGCTGTGAGTACTGTTTGATTCACGTAGGTACAGTCTGTTTTCGCCCGGCGTTCTACCAAAGTTGGAGAAGACAACGGAGATGGAGACGTGGCTGATTGCGGTGCAGGGGAAGCGGATTGTTCAGCATTCCGTTGCTTAGCAGCCGCTACGCTTCTGTGGTCCATACTCACTTCCATTGAAGTAAGCTTATTGTTGATCCTCTGCTCTGCTTCTGCGATTAACCGGTCGCATTTCTCAGCTAGGATAAGCAAGCACTTAACGAAGGGGATAGTGGAACACGCAGTACAGAACCGAAATGCACCTTGGGAGCCATTTCGCTCCCGTAGCTGTTGTTGGGTCACATTTGCACATTTCGTATGGTACCATTCCAAACAGTGCGAACAAGCCAGACCGATTTTTACTACCCGATGACATTCCCCTAACCCGCAAATGCCTTTCGATGGGACTCTTCGGTTTCGCCTTTCTGCCATTCACTTTGGTGTCGTTATCTGACCCAGTGGGTTGGTTAGCGTTCTGTACTTTTACAGCTTTGAGAGCGGCGCACATCGGTCAGGCGAGCGTGCTGGTTGCAACGTCAAATGAGCGGTCGGCGTGGTCGCGCGGTCCGTGTGATGGGTTATGCAGCCGCACTGGCTGACAAGGTCACAAGGAATGGCGAGTGACTGCAACCTGAACAGATCGCTGAACACAGGTTCTTTCACAGCTGTGTTAAGAAACACTGGATCGGAGTAAGCTTAGGCTTTTCGGCCTGCCTCGAGAATTCTGTATCGAATGGTGTCACACAGAAAGGCAATCGGCTCAATACGATTGAATTGAACGCTTGCGCTTAATCACAGATGCCAGTGAAAACGGTTAGTGATGGCACACCCTCTAATCGTAGAAGATATTTCCACGTATGATGGATCACTGTGTAGAGCTGGTAAATCCGGTTCGAATGAGCGTACAGTGACAATGCTGCGAGAAGATGGAGAGAGGATAGAGGGAAATAATCCGAACGAACCAGTAGCACGCACGTCACGCATGTGTGAGGATGACCTTCTACAGCTCTGGATGGAAGCGAAGCCAGCGCCGGCCACACTCGTCTCAATGAATTAACTTACTGGCACTAACTCCTTGGGCTGGATGCATAGTTCAAAACTGGTTCGGTCCAGCGACATCGAGCTGAGTTGCTCTCAGCAACAGCGAATAGAAGACAAGTGTGAATAAATGAAACCAAATTGACACCACAGACAGAAGACAATAAGCAAGTTAGTAAAAACTAACAACACTGATACCATGACTAGGTGTACGTTGTACGTGGCCAGCAAGTCTTGATTGTCAGCTTTGTTTCGGCGCCCCTACTTGCCCAGACTATCGGATAGACATACGATGCGTATTTTCCCACAATGTCATCCGGGGCACTATGCGTTGACACAAAGCTAAACACTGCCAATAACAGACGGTCGTCTGTCGCCATATACCAGCCTATGTTTGCGTTATTTTTCGCTTTTACTTTCTATTACTCGGAGCTACGCAGATGTTTTCAAGTAGCAGTATGTTAAAAAATTTTGCACATCATAGTTAGATATGCCAAACAATGGTGACACGAATCACATTTATGACGCTCACTTGGATCGGTGATTGTGAGGAGAAAGCAAGAATTACCGGCTTCCGTTTGGCACAACACGTCACACTTCACTGTCTCGTCTGCAAGGCCGTGCTTCTTCACGGATTGTAACATCGTTTCCAGATCATGCTTTAGCTCCGTAAAGGAATACGGGTAACAATAGGCCATGTAGCACAAGTCATTTGCGTGAGGAAAGAACTGGGGAAGTTGGAGAGGTAAAAGGAGATTTCGCCAAGTGCTCCTCTATATAGTGGCAAAAATTTTAAGTTGTAAACGACTTTCTTCAATTTCAACATGCAATATTAGATACTGTGATGAGCACATTCTGTTGGGTTATCAGGTCTCTGTGGAAAACGGTTTCGAGAAGCTGGTAAATTTTAGCTCAATCGTTTCAACTACGATTTTAGTGGGCTATGACTTTGGTTAACGATTAACCGCACCAACGTTCGGTCCCTTTCAATGATTATATCCTATTCGCAACCCATTATTAAGAAAAAACAAAATAGCTAAAATTTATCTAAGCTACGACCACTCATGCAGCATTGAGTGGATCGTTTTTATCCAAAGTGAAATGGGTTTCCAGTCATCAGAAACTGATAGCTAACATGACGGCCGACAGAGTTGTCTCTACATGTTATACTTCAGTAAACTGACCATGACCCCAGAACCAATGTGCAGTGAGTAACATCGCCGTGATTCCCATCATAATGTCAATATAATCTCCAGTAGTGGCGAAATGAGAAAAAATACTTGTAAAACATAATGTAGTGAAAGGCAAGTGTGGGAGGTTTGTTAGAAAAGTCAGACGGAAGAGGGGAAGTTATGTAAAAGGAACCTAAATCACAATTACCATTGACACTGTGACCTCGTCATGTTCGGCACTGATGTGGCAGGATATGCAGGCTTCATCGGAAAAGACGGTAAGGATCAGTTGCATTCAGTTGTTCGACAAGTTGCTTCTTTCCTTCTTGCTGTGTCGTCAGCTGCGACTTCACACAACCGGGCAAATAATGTGAGACAATGAAGGGGGTCTGTTTGCTAGCGAAGGACGTGACGCATAAATAACAGTGGTTCAAACAGTTTCGTACGCATCCCATCACCAATTGATCAACTTCCGACAATCTCGATCAGTGGGCACAGCAATGGACTAGACGTCAAATGAGTGTCCACTTCAGTGACAATCCGCCATCCAAATGGAATGCGAGTTTCCGCTTTCACATTAAAAAGTAGATGTGCTTTGTTGTCAGAATTACGCTGATAATAGACACGTAGCGTTAACTAAAATGGTTTAAATAGACAATTTGTAGTCTGCTCAATCCTGTACTGCACTTTACTTGTACTCTGAGTAATGTTTATTACAAATACCTAACTAATACAGAGTGAGATACCATGGGTTGCATGCTGAAACCATGCATTGACCGCACGACCAGACACGTGATCCACCACTTTCCATTCTCACCACCAAATCCATGACAGGCGTCCTGGGAATCGTAAACTTCAGTTTGTAGCTGATTTGGATAGTGGATTCTGTTTACTCACTTATTTGCACTGTGTCTTTCCGAAACAGCTCCTCGCTGAGTGGCACTTCATACCATCTGCCTCTTCAAGAAAAGTCTGTGCAGTGGGTTTCCTTGTGGTTGATACGCACGTATGCATCGACGCCGTATGGAGCTCTCCCAGCTGGGCCGGTAGTCTAGCTGCGATGAATCCTAGAGTTGATATGGTGTGGCGATGCTCCACAGACAGTGTGTCAAATGCGGAAGGGTGGACTAATGCCACACAGTAAGAAACCCGCCATACGTGTGCGCGTGGGTAGTCAAGGGAGGCTGTTGGTTGGTTAGGTTATAAGATTTTGACTGGAGAAAGGATAGCGCTATAACAGACGGAGGATAGTCTACGAATACCTACTTAGATAGCGTCAGTATTATGAAAAAACGTGCGACCCTAAGTGCGCAATAGGATAACGGATATCGTGGATCCGGAGTCTAATGTGCAAGCACTAGTGTGGATCCGAATGGGGCGGTGGAGCGTAAGTAGTGAACCGTGAGTTAGCAGCGGGTTATCCGTACCATACCTTAAGCTTGATCTAGCCCGATGGAAGGGCTGGGACTCAAACCCAAGAGTTTGGGATGTGAGTCGAAATCTCCACTCCTAGACTACTTGTTATCGGACGGAGTTTGTCGCAGTGGTTAGTGACTAAGTGTGATCACAGTCTGGTGCGCGAAAATTAGTATAAAAATGGTCATCCAGCGCATTGTCGCGATCAGGCTCCAACAAACATTTAACGTTGTGACCTTGAGAGAAGTTGCGTGCAAATCGCTCACTTGTGCACTCGTGGTTTTTAACTGTGGTTCAGCGATATTTTGTCGCACACCTTTGGATCCATACTTATTCGTCGTGTTTTTACAAGCTCTACTTTGTGATACCAGTTCCCCGAGTATACTCCAGTGCATCCTACATTTACCCTGCATTCAAATTCCGGGCAGTGTTTCGCAGATATCCATGCGCCAAAAGTTGTCTAACTCCAACCATCGGAGACATTGTTTGGCCTCACTCGATAGACCATTTCAACGGCTTTCGAACGAAATGTCGCTCATTCAAATCCAACATTGCTTGGTGCAGCTACAGGTCTCAAAGCAAATTCACCAGGCGCGATCCATAAGCCTAACCATGAGAATTCTCAATCACACCCTCGTGTATTCTGCCCCACGTTCAAGCTGACACATTCGACTGGCACGCCAGAGAGGACAGCCCGCAAGCACACAACTGCAACGTGAACACTATGACCTTACCGAGAACGTCAATAACAGCACGACTTTTTACCATAGAGGGTGAGTCATTCAAATGGTTCGTAACATTTGCTCAACAAGCGTGATGCCCAGTGCGCCAACGACCAAAGACCTATGTGGATCATGTTCCAAACTTGTTAAGGGGGGCATTTTGTGCCGTAACTGTTGCAAGTTCTTCCATGCGAGATGCCTCCGAGTTAAACCTAGTCAGGCCAAGTTATTAAGCAAACCAGACTCGCTATGGTTCTGTGTAGAATGCACATCTATCCCACCGAGAAAAATCGTGCTCCTATTATCTCAGAAGTACAACCAGCTACTAGCCAAGTGTGAGGAAATGGTGACTACCAAAATCACTACGGTTGAGGTAAACATAGCGGACTGTGCAACCCAATCCTCCCCCGTAAGTGGTGTTCCTAACCCGCGAAGAACTGTTAATAACACCGTAAGCAACACGACACCTAGAGTCCAGAACATCAACAGCTGTCCCAATACCACATGTAGCTTACATTTGACTAAAGCGTTTCCCAGTTCGATCGGAGTAACTACACGTAAGGCTACTTCCAAACTCCCGACGGAGTGCGTAGAAAAAGAGCGAGCCGGTACGAGCGAAAGTTGGGTTACGGTTGCCTCCAAGTAGAGCCGTCATTTAAAATTAACACCACCCCCAACTGGATCGGAAGCTGAGGAGCGTAGTAGAGTTTTCCTAGTGCAAGCACCACCGGTTTCCTGCAGCACATCTCCGAGTACTTCAATCACTAACCGCGGCATGTCGAAAGGTTGAAAGAAACAACTACCTGTACTGAGCGTACTGTGCTCCAATATCCCAGAATCAAAGTCGACATCGATAAGAGGCAGGCAGTTGGATAACCTCAACCAGTGGGGCATTATTAGTAACCTAATCGGAGTTGTACTGAAACCTGTACACGTAGTGCGTATTACACGACACCCCAACTCCAAACATTTCGGTGAGCCAAGACTTCTGCGCGTTGTGCTGAACTTCATCACTGAAGTAGAATCAGTACTACTGTCGACAGGTAGTCTCAGAAATGAACGCTGCTCCATCCATATCCTTCCAGACATCCCATAGGGCGAGCGTTATCTAGTTAACCGTGCCTTAAAGGACTAACGGAAAGAAACTTTAACCAGAACCATAGTTCTTCACGGGGTTCCTGAAACTGAAGCATGTGATGAGCATGAAATAACAGCCCATGATAAAGAACAGTGGTGTTATATTCATGAAACACTCTGCTTGAATGATGTGTTAGCGAAATCCGTGTCACGACTGCGTATCTCACCGAACTAAAAAGTAAGTGGCCCGAGAGTGTTGAAGGTGGTCCTTCAGTCAAAACATATGGTAGCATGGCTGCTAAAAGGTTGGTACATGTTCCGTTGCAGGCTACCATCTGAGCTTCGGCTGAAGACAGTCAGCGATATGCCTCCTAGAGATGATATGTCACTACAAGAACCAAACGCGATGGGATCTATAAAAGAACATTGCACCAGTAGTGTGTCGAATGTGCCCATACAACCTGTAGAAGATGATGTTGACCGGACACCTTACACTGCACGTAGAAGATCAGACACAGGATTAACTAAGCGGACGATGATTAAGACGTTAAACCCTTCACCAAGTACACACAGAAAAACGAGTAGTCGCCGGCCACTCACTGGTCTGCGAAACTTCACATATGAGTTGTACAACCTCCGAAACATTGCTTAAATCTGAGAAACTTTCATGTATGTACACTAACGCCCAAGGGCTTCTCAGTAAAATTACCGAACTTCAACTACGTCAGGTTGCAAAAGCTTGGGACCTAGTTTCTATTACCGAAACTTGGTTACACCAAGAGGTGACTGATGCTGAGGTTGAGATAGCCGGAATGTCACTCATCCGGAATGACCGCCCCCAGCAGAGGAAGTGGGGTCCTACTCTACTACCGCAGCGATCTGCAATATGCAATAGTTGATGATCTGGAAACTCACGTTACCGACTCACTGTGGTGCCGTCTCCGACTAACACACAACGACGCATGTCTCATAGCTGTCGTTTATCGCCCCCCAACGTCCACTCCGGAAATGGATTCCCGCTTGATCCATGGCCTGAACAGAGTAACACGCACTAGGTACATCCACATTTTCATCGCCGGGGACTTTAATCTACACGACCTGGAGGTTTCGACATCACCCAGTGAGCAGTTCAAAGCAGATGCATGAACTGATCGCTAATATTCACTTGTACAATCATGTCACCATGCCCATTAGATTCAGGACATCAAACAAACCGTCCATACTGGACCTTGTGCTCACGAATGAAGAGCTCATGGTTGACGAGTTATTGATGGATAGTCCATTAGGTCGCAGTGACCATGTAGTAATGTTCTGCTATGTGTGTTATGCATAGTATCCATC